GCAGGTGTAGTTGGTAGGGGGGGTGCCTACTACTACTACTAATACTACTACTACTACTGCTACTACTGCTACTACTACAACTACTGCTATTACCTACTACTACTACTACTACTACTACTACTACTACTACTACTACTACTACTACTACTACTACTACTACTACTACTACTTTTAGTAGCAGCAATAGTACTTCTAGTCCTACTATTACTATTACCGGTTTTAGTAGTATAGTAGGGTAGTATTAAGAGTATTATGCACCACTACTACTAGTATTAGTACTAGTACTAGTACTACTACTACTACTACTACTACTACTACTACTACTACTACTACTACTATTACTACTACTACTACTACTACTACTCCTGCTACTACTACTACTACTACTACTACTACTACTACTACTACTACTGCTACTATTACTACTACTACTACTACTACTACTACTACTACTACTACTACTACTACTACTACTACTACTACTACTATTCGTAGTGCTGCTAGTACTACTGCTCTACTGGTACAGGTACTGCTAGTGCTACTTCTACGCCGACGACGACTACTACTAGGTCTACGACTAGTACTGCTATTCGCATTACTACAACGAAGGTATTACACAGCTACCAGCACTGTAGTAAGACGTAGTACAGGGGATATTGAACCATGGTCTGCAAGCACATCGGACCATTCTGTGTTCGTCCTTTGGCAAGTATGCTGCGCTGTAGGTTCACACGACGAACCTTGTGATGCACAAGGTCAGGAGCCTATGGGTAGTAGGTCACCCCGTCCATGTCGAAGCAGCAGGCAGAGAGAGATAGTCCCAGAGCAACCGCACGCACTGAAAGAAGAGTATCCAAGTAAACCATAATGTTTGATGCTGCAAATGCAGCTCTTGTCGAAAAATCGGAAAGCGCCCTTCCACAGCATCCATACGCTCCTCCAAGTTCTCTTCGACACGGGTGATGTGGCTGCTGAGATTCAAGAGCCTGTTAAAGGTACGCTGTTCCAAGCTTACGATAGATGTAAAGGCTTCGTCCAGGCGCGACCAAATGGCAAACACCCACAATCTCAGGTAAGCAAGATAGGCTTGGAAGCCTCCCAGCACAGACAAGAGTGCACGAGAGTTGCTGGAATCCATGCAGCACACCGTCTTGTTTGATGGTAAGCTTTGCCAATATCGAGTCCTACACATTTGGATGGAAAAGGATTGGAGTAAGCTGCTACATAGTACTGTGCAATGGAGCCCTGCGGCTGTGTTGCATGGCTGAACTCGGGCTCGAGAAATCATAGCTTCAGCGCCAGAAAGCCTGAAGAACTAAGACTGTATTGGTTTAGGGTTAAGGGGCTTAGGGAGAAAACCCGGAGAACTAGCCAGCAGTAGATTAGACTAGTTATATTGGTGACTTCAGCTTCTATTGTGGAAATACTCCTTGAGACTTAGCGAAAAAAGCTTCACCCACCCGGATCTGTGGCCTGCTCGTTTGCACTTGCCGAGGGTGATTCGACCCGTATCTGCGAAGATGCCTGGGCCACGGCGAATGTACCAATGCTGGGTTTAGGGTTATTCAAGGGTTCTTCATGTTGAGAAATTGGAAGGCCCACAAGTCAGCAGGCTGCACTGGCAATCCTATAGAATTTCTTTAAGAGATAAGGTTCTAGCAAAGCAATGCTGTGTGAAGTACACGGAGTTTCTGCGAGGAACACGTAAAGAAAGCTTTGGGGATTAAACCTGCGGATTACCAGCGAAGGCTTTGGGATGAGGGTTTGTGTTCAGGGCCTGGAGTCGGGCGCGGTACCCTGGTTGAGGGTTCTACTCAGTTTGGTTACATCACTATACTATTGGGCCTTTTAGAATTTCTTCAAGTCTTTGTCGGGCATTCCGTGAGCATGCTGGGTTGGGTTATAGAGTAGTACTGTGGGGCCTGTAGAATCGAGACGTCTTAGTAGGGAAACCGGTGGGCATGCTTAGGCAATGTAGAAAACACTGTCTGCCTAACGACGCTCCCCTCGAAGTTGGCGGAATTAACTTGCTGGTCTACATACAAACTATAACCCCTTGTAGAGCCCCTTAAAGGAACCCGCAGTGGCGACAGGGTAAAGGATTTCTAAGGCTCCCCTAATTTTCCGAAACTCCCACAAAACCTTAAAACTTACAAGGCCCTTCGCCTGGCACTGCCGGTGGCCGAAGGAAGCAGACGGCGGTGCTGAGGCCCTGGAAGGGTTTCAGGTCCCAGAGACTTCGATATCCTTTTTCAGGAATACAGTATTAAAACCCATAAAGTTGAAAACCAGACTAAAGCCAAATAGTGCTTGGAGTCCTTATGCATTAATTACTCTTAAGGATTGAGGCTATTGGGCTTGCAACTTTTCGACTTCTACTGTATTCCTTACAGGAACATTCCTTAAAGCATAGGAGGGATCATACGACAATTGCAGGTATATTTCTTAGAGATCTATACAAGCTCCTTCCAAGGGATCAAAAAGGGTTCCTTTGAAGGGATGTATCATTGGGGAGTAGGTGTTAGGGTGTATAAGTTTGGGGGTTTAGGGTTTAGCGTGTCCGTCACAACACCACTGGAGCTTCAAAAGGCTTTCTGCTTCTTCCTTGCTGAAGAATTGCTTCTAGTACATGTCTATGAAGTCACTGCGGAGCTCATCCTAAACCCTAGGCCCCAAACCCAGGTACACCCTACACCTCAAGCCTTGAGAAGCCTTAACCTAGAGAGCCCAATACCCCTTAATTGAGGAATGTAGCTTAAATCATGACAGGAATTCCCTTACAATTTAGGGTCTGTTCCTCAATTAAGAGGCATTGGGCTCTCCGGGAACCTGAATTCGCAAATAATTTTTTAACGGGGCTAGGAGCACCAATGTAACTTATTTCAATAGTCTTTATCCCACATTCACTAGGCTCTGGTCCCAGTCGAAAACCGTAATGTGATACTAACTTCAAAAACCTTCAACCATCCACTAGGCTCACCATCGCGATACGAATTTCAATAAACCGTCATCCTGAATACCCTGCACTCTATCGTGATGGTATCTTGAAAACCCAGCTATAAACTCACTATGTGGTTACAGTCCTGCTCCCCGTGACTGCCCGAAACGGTGCAACAAGCCCGTAAAGCGATGCACCCAAGAATCCCAAAGACCTAGCTCCAAACGAAAATCCAAAAGGCACCCTCTTAACCTCGCCGTACGACTGTGCGAATCACTCTGAACCGAAGTCTGTAACCAAGTGTGTGAGCCATCGTGTTCACGCTTACTGTGTGGTGACTCGTACTCTCCAACGTATTTTATCCCAACGGTTGCGAAGATACCGGGTCTATTTTTCGTAGGGTCCTTATATCTTTATGGTCGAATATATTCAAATGCAACTTCAACTGAGGTTTCTTGGGTCGGGAGCAACCCTTAACTTCAAAACCTGCGACCCTCGGCCCTCAACCCTAACTTGAACCTAAATACCCCTCTGGCACCAGGCTCGTCAACATCGCCAGCTTCTGGCACTGACGCCTCAAGCAGCCGGAAACGGGCACGACTGGAAATCATGCCCGCGAGCGACACGGTGGAGAGTCTTATCGAGAAGGTTGGGCGAGGGGCTCTACATGTTTCTGGCGCTCAAGAAATAGCTGTTTTCATGGCAGAGGAAGCTGGGACCATGGGTGCTATCATGCCAGCTTTGAAAGCGCTCGGGTCGCTGGGCGGAGGCCATACAGGAAATGTTGAACGCGACTGGAGCCGTTGGTTGAAGGGCTTGTATGGTTTCGAGCTAGAACCGTACAAGCTCAACTTTGACTTGAAAGTTCCTTGTCCGGTATTTCGGCAAACACAACAAGAACAAATAACAACCACCACCACCACCACCACCACCACTACCACCACCACCACCACCACCACCAGCAGCATCACAGCCACTATCACGACCACCACGACCACCACCACCACCACCAGCACCACCACCTCCACGCTGACATCGCAACACTGCTAGTAAGAGTATTTTTTGTTGTTGTCAAGTATTGGTGGTCGTGCGAGTGGGTAGTGCTACTACTACTACTACTACTAGTAGTACTAGTACTAATACTAGTACTAGTACTAGTACTAGTACTAGTACTAGTACTACTACTATTACTACTACTACTACTACTACTACTACTACTACTACTACTACTACTACTACTACTACTACTACTACTACTACTACTACTACTATTACTACTACTACTACTACTACTACTACTACTACTACTACTACTACTACTACTACTACTACTACTCCTGCTGCTGCTGCTACTACTACTATACTACTATACTACTAGAAAGAGCTGCTTCTAGTAACTCTAGTACTTGGCTCTTACTTCTGCTACAACCTCTAGTCTTACTCCTACTCCTACTGCTACTCCTACTGCTTGTCCTACTCCTGCTTCTCCGGCTCCTGCTCCTGAGCCCCTGCACTTATGCAAGGTCAATAACTCCAAGAACCTCAGCAACGTGATGGTGCCCTGCCTTTTGCCTCACGAAGTCCTTCATGCTCTTTCTTGTCAATCGGCTGTTTTCGAGACAGTTGTTATGGGCAATCGAAGTGGTGAAGCCATCAGCGAGTTTTGGAGGCCTGTTCAGCTGCAGATCTCAAGAGCTTGATCGGCTTGAACTTTCATGTTGATGGAGCCGAGTTTTACAGAGACGACGAGTATTTCGTTTACAGCATGTCTTCTGTTTTCGCAGGAAATGGCATGATCTCGGATGTGCTGTTGTACAAGTTTCCAATTGCAATCTTCGCAGAGCGAGATATGGACAAGGAGGCCCCCAAACCCCAGACTGTTAAGGTTGCACCCTCTAGCTGCCTAGATATTCTTGCTGTGTAGCTGTGCCCCAGAGCTTGCTTTACCTTAGGTTTTAGTTTTCCGGTTTGTGGTTTAGGGCTGGGGTCTTGCGAAATGCATCCGCCCATGAAGGTTAAGTCTGCCGTGAACAGAAGAGTTGCTAAGCTGGTGGCCTGGAGCATGGACTGTGCTCTGCGAGGCGTCGGACCTCGGACCGGGTTCCAGGGCGAGGCTTTTCCAGAAGGCTCCCACCGAGCATCTATGGCCGATAAACCTCTGTGTCAAGGCCGAAAGAACCTGCCTTGACAATTTTAGAGCATATGTTGCGGTTTCCTGGTTGGGAAAATGCAGGGAGTAGGTTCGGGGTTCAAGTTTTTACATTTACAGAAGCACAACTGAGGGCCATGTACTTCAGTGTGAAAGCGGATCTCAAAGCCAGAAAGGAAGTCAACGAATTCAGAAATTGGTATTCATGTACACGGAGCCCCGGTTCGGATAGTTCTTTCTTCATGGTAGAACTAGTAGTAACCGTTTTTCTTTGGGTCCAATCAAACTCCTGTTCTATAATTTTCGAAGCCAGCAGCAAGGCTTTGCGAAAGCTGCCTTGCAGAGAAGCCTGCCAAGAACAACAACCCGGGGATGGATTTTCGCAACCTCCAAGCCGATGCCCCATACTTCTACACAAGGCTGAACCAGGAGCAGTTCTTGAAGTTTGATCATGCTCCACCGTGGTCTTGCGTGCCTGGCTATCGGATCGAAACGGTTTCCTTAGATATCATGCACAACATTTATCTGGGTCTTTGGAAAGATGTGATGGCAAGTGCTGTGGGGATGCTGCTATTGGCCGGTGTCTATGATATCTACGGCAGCACTGCAGAAGAGCAACTGAAAGGAGCATGGGAGCAGATGCGGTCGGATTGTCGCCGCCGTGGGTGACTGACTTAGATCAAAGCCTGTACACTACAGTTCTATGTAAACTAGACACCCCGAACCCTGCCAAGTAAAGCTGCAATTGCTTAAAACCGTGGTCCTGCTTCCCCCTTGAACCTGCAAGCCAAAAACCATTAGCAACTCCAAACACCTCGATCTTGGTATAAGCAGAATCAGTACCCTGTTTGCCAGCACACGTATTATAGTATAACCTGCTGTGCATGTTCGTTCTCTATCCGTTTCCGTTGCAAGTCCAATTCTGAGCCCACTGACATGCTTAGGATTCACATCTGCAAGCCCGGGTTTACGCTTGCCAACACACACCTGGATGGAGACGGCTATGCTGAGCTTGGAAGTCGTTTCAAGGCAGCGAACGTGAAGAACATGGAATGGTGGCTGTGTCGCGAGATGCAGCGAGTTGCTGAGAAACTAACTGACCGCCCGCTTCAAGTATTGGCGACTCTCTGTTGGGCCTTGCAGCACACCATCGAGCTGATGGATTCGACAGACCTTCTTTTCAACGAGGACGATGCCCTTGAGGCTTCACGATGTTTGTTTTTATTCCTTGATTGCTATCAATGGCTTGCTTGCGACGCATGGCACAAGAATCTTCTGTTCTTCAACCTTCGACCCAAATGCCAATGCTTGTGGCACACAGCTCACAACATTCGTGAACTGAAGATAAGCCCGCGAGTATTTCAAAACTTTGACGAAGAGAGTTTCTTAGGAAAGATCAAAATGATCGCGTGTAAATGCCATGGAAAGACCATGACCCACCGTGTCTACGAAAGGTACATACTAGTGCTTGCGATTGTCGTTGAGCGAATGCGGCGCAACTCCAAATTTGCCTCTAGTGCAGTCTAACTTTCGGCCAGCGCTGGTGTGCCAGGGCACTCCAAGGGGTTCAAGGTTCCGCAATATATACTTTTAGACTGCCTTCAGTTCTAAGTAAACTGCGTTATTCAGGCTACTGGCATATTTGACTTATGAGTTGTTGCTACGTTAGGTATGAATCCGCCAGGCCCTGCATTCCACACCGGCTACTACCCTGAGCCTAATTCGGAAACCTTCCGGTCTGGGGAACCCGACATTTCGCGATGCTGACGTCGTCGACCGATGGCGGACAAGTTGCTGCTCGAGAACCGGGAGGGCAAGGTTCTGCATAGTTGCAAAGCTCGAAAGACTTTGAGAACATTTTTCTAAATACCAATTGTATGTGGATCAGTTGTAATGCTGGTAGCTGGGCATTGTACTATACTTAAAAGCCTTTTGAGCTCGCAAAGATGCGGAACCAGGTTTGCTGGTCTTGAGCTTAAGGATGAAGCTACAATCTGCTCGGGTTTAGGGTTCTAGGTTTTACTTGGAAGGGCAGGTGACTTGGTAAGTCGTTCATAAGTAGGGTTATAATTGGGGTAACTCCATTTAGGGTACTTATAATTTTACTTCTAACCTACTTACTAAGTCCCCTGCCCTTCCAAGTAGGGTTTAAGGAGGAACTTGAAGCCCAAGCTTGATGAAGACAGGCATGGAGCTGCATATTGAGCAATGACCATTCAACGCTTCTATAGTGCATATCCCTGAGCCGTTTAGATCTCGCCCCAGATCCTGCTCAAAGCCAAGAAGTGAAACGTTTTAGCTGATTCGTATCAAGGCTCTCGATGACAGCAATTATACATAGGAGATTCCCAGGCGAGGTCGGCCCCAAAGCTTAAAGCCTACCTTGATTTCGATATTTCGTTGCACCGCAACGCCTACACCCGAAGCTTATACCCTCATACACCGAATGCGGGCCTTAATCTCCAAAAATTGCCTCCTGCACCCTTCAATGTCGATTTTTTTGATAGGTGTGGCTCAAGTGGTTTAGGAATCGAAATCACTATAAGCTTTGCAGCTCAAGTCTGCAATCGACAAGAAACCATACAAACTAAAGCCTCTCGAAGTTTCTGTATAGTGTGTGGCTCAAGATGTTTGAATTTGGCTCAAGCACGTATATACGCAAACGGACCAGGACTGCACGCCCAGCGCAGCACACTGCGCACAGAGTTAATTATAAGGACAAGAACCTATAAGCGCAAGCGCACCAAGTTGCACGCCCAACGCAGCACGCTGCGGGATTAAAACACAAATAACACAAGTATCAAAGTTTTCTAAGACACTACAAATCATTTCTGATTCTTAGCTAACTTCTGCAACAGCATTTGAAACGCACCATACTGCATGTATGGGTTTATGCACAGGTTTCGAAAACCATGTGTAAACGCAAATGCACCGGGCTGCACGCCCAACGCAGCACACTGCGCTGAAAAGTTACAATGAAAACACGTGTAAACGCAAACGCACCGAGTTGCACGCCCAACGCAGCACGCTGCGCTGAGAAGTTATAAGGATAACACATATAAACGCAAAGGCACCCGGTTACACGCCCAACGCAGCACGTTGCGGGATTAAAACACAATAGAAGAAGTTTTGCTTTTCTTACACATTATCATTTGCTTTCTGATTCGTAGCTATAATTCCTGCAACAGCATAAATGCACCACCTGTGCATGTACGGGACTATATGCACAGGTTTCGAAAACCACGTGTAAACGCAAACGCACCGGGTTGCACGCCCAGCGCAGCTGATCATGGTTATAGGAAAACACGTATAAACGCAAACGCACCGGGCTGCAGGCCCAACGCAGCATGCTGCGGGATTAAAACACCCTAAATGCAAATTTTGGTATTCCGACACCCTTACGATTTCCTTTCTGCTTCTTTTGTTTGCAACAGCATAAACGCACCATACTGCGTGAATGGGATTGCATGCGCACGGGCTTGGAAAGGCACGTGTAAACGCAAACGGACCAGCACGTCCAACGCAGCACGCTGCACACAGAAGTTAAGGAAAACACCTGCATGGCCTATGTACCCGCAAACGGACAGGGTTGCACGCCCAACGCAGCACGCTGCGCAGAGAAGCATTACAAGGAAAACACCTATACAACCGCAAGCAAACCATGGTTAAATTCCCAACGTAGCACGCTGCGCAGAGAAACAATGTCGAAGAAAACACCTATAAACGCAAACGGGTCAAGTTGCACGCCCAACGCAGCACGTTGCGCCGAGAAACGATGTTAAGGAACAGACCTATAAACACAAGCAGACCAGGTTGCAGATCCAACGCACAACCTGCCCACAGAAGAGCAATCCCGCAAGACAACCCACGTAAACGCAAGTTGCAAGTGCAACGCAGCACGCTGCGAACAGCATCATGGGCACCACATGACCCTCAAACACATTTGAATCAAACGCACTTGCCGTGTAGGCATCAACTTGAACATTTCATTTCCATATATATATATATGAGAGAGAGAGAGAGGCGCCTCTAGGGTCTATTTTACGCTCTATTCTTTTCTGCATGACTACTATTATTTAAAATAATTGAAATAATTGAAATAATTGAAATCAGCAGAGTTGATTTCAATTGTTTCAATTATTTAAATCCGCCAAAGGCCCCAAATAATTGAAATAATTGAAATAATTGAAACCGATGGCTGTTCTGGGCCAAGCCACGAAGCCCACCGATTTGAATTATTTAAATAATTTAAATAATTGAAATAATTGAAATATTTGAAATAATTGAAATAATTGAAATAATTGAAATGGAGGGATTTCAATTATTTCAATTATTTAAATCCGCCAAAGGCCCCAAATAATTGAAATAATTGAAATAATCGAAATCCACCCCATTTCAATTATTTCAATTATTTCAATTATTGAAATCCCTGGATTTGGTGGCTTGGGCCCACCGAACCTTCGGATTTCAATGATTTCAATTATGTAAATCCGCCAAAGGGCCCAAATAATTGAAATAATTGAAATCGATGGCTGTTCTGGGCCAAGCCACGAATCCCACCGATTTGAATTATTTAAATAATTGAAATAATTGAAATAATTGAAATGGACGGATTTCAATTATTTCAATTATTTAAATCCGCCAAAGGCACCAAATAATTGAAATAATTGAAATAATTGAAATCCCTCCCATTTCAATTATTTCAATTATTTCAAGTATTTCAGTTATTTCAATTATTGAAATCCCTGGATTTGGTGGCTTGGGCCCACCGAACCTTGGGATTTCAATTATTTCAATTATTTAAATCCGCCAAAGGCCCCAAATAATTGAAATAATTGAAATAACGAAATCCACCCCATTTCAATTATTTCAATTATTTCAATTATTGAAATCCCTGGATTTGGTGGCTTGGGCCCACCGAACCTTCGGATGTCAATTATTTCAATTATGTAAATCCGCCAAAGGGCCGAAATAATTGAAATAATTGAAATCGATGGCTGTTCTGGGCCAAGCCACGAATCCCACCGATTTGAATTATTTACATAATTGAAATAATTGAAATAATTGAAATGGGGGGATGTCAATTATTTCAATCATTCAAATTCGCCAAAGGCCACAAATAATTGAAATAATTGAAATCCAATTAGTTCGATCATTTCAATTGGCTTGGGCCCACCGAACTTTCGGATTTCAATTATTTCAATTATTTAAATCCGCCAAAGGGCCCAAATAATTGAAATAATTGAAATCGGCCCCATTTCAATTATTTCAATTATTTCAATTATCTAAATAATTGAAATCCTGGGGTTCTGTGGATGGGGCCCACAGGTCACCCCCCCACCCCCCCCCTTCTATCACCCGCCCCCCCCCGTCCCCCCATACCTCACGGTGTAGGGCCTGCCCCCCGGTAAGAGGGTAGAATACGTATAATGTGGCGCCGTCTTTCTCGGGCAGTGAACTTTAATATTAAAGTCTGCGCTGGGACTTTAATGTTTCATCTGCAAGGCCTTACCTTAATATTAAAGTCCCGCCATGCAGATTAAACATTAAAATCCGGCTGGCCGCCATTCTGGCCTGAGCCAGGAACGACTATAATATTGAAGTATTAAAGTTTTTAAACATTAAAGTCCGAGCAGGGGCTTTAATGTTTAATCCGCAGGGCCTTACTTTAATATTAAAGTCTCGCCCTGCAGATTAAAGCACCAGCGTGGACTTTAATATTTAAAAACTTTAATATTTCAATATTAAAGTCGTTCTTGGCTCAGGCTAGGTGGACTTTAATGTTTAATCTGCAGGGCGAGACTTTAATATTAAAGTAAGGCCCTGCAGATTAAACATTCAAGTCCGGCTGGCCGCCATTCTGGCCTGAGCCAGGAACGACTTTAATATTGAAATATTAAAGTTTTTAAATATTAAAGTCCACGCTGGGGCTTTAATCTGCAGGGCGAGACTTTAATATGAAAGTAAGGCCCTGCGGATTAAACATTAAAGCCCCTGCTCGGGCTTTAATGTTTAAAAACTTTAATATTTCAATATTAAAGTCGTTCCTGGCTCACGCCAGAATGGAAGCTGGCCGCCATGCTGGCCTGAGCCAAGAACGACTTTAATATTGAAATATTAAAGTTTTTAATCATTAAAGTCCGAGCAGGGACTTTAATATTTAATCCGCAGGGCCTTACTTTAATATTAAAGTGTCGCCATGCAGATTAAAGCCCCAGCGTGGACTTTAATATTTAAAAACTTTAATATTTCAATATTAAAGTCGTTCCTGGCTCAGGCCAGCATGGCGGCCAGCTGGACTTTAATGTTTAAAGTCGTTCCTGGCTCAGGCCAGAATGGCGGCCAGCTGGACTTTAATGTTTAATCTGCAGGGCTTTACTTTAATATTAAAGTAAGGCCCTGCAGATGAAATATTAAAGTCCGGCTGGCCGCCATTCTGGCCTGAGCCAGGAACGACTTTAATATTGAAATATTAAAGTTTTTAAACATTAAAGTCCACGCTGGGGCTTTAATCTGCATGGCGACAC